CATCCCTGGACACTACCAAAAATTTAGCATGGCCTGTAACATGGTTCCCCAGGGATTGATATAAGGACACTGCAGTAGAGATTTACAAGAATAGTTCCAGGGATGATGATAGATTGACAAAGTTCAGGTTAATCTCCTCAGGAACAAGAAGATTGAGCAGAGATTTCATAGAGATGTTCAAAATCATGCCAGCTCTGGACAGAGTAGATAGGGAGAAATTGTTATCATTGATGGACATGTCAAGAATCAGACAACATTAATTTAAAGTGATTGGCAAACAAACCAGAGATAAATGAGGGGAAAAAAGAAGGTAAATTCAAGGTAGTGTGGAGCTGGAGGAACACAGCAGGCCATGCAGCATCAGAAAACCTGATACTGTGTTATCTCTGACTCCAGGATTGGCTGTTCTTATTATCTCCAAGATAGATTCAATGGTGGCTTTCAATAGGGGATTGGATAAGCACCTAAACTGAAAAACTATTCAGGGTAACAGGGAAAAGGCAGAGTGGGACTAGTTGAGTTTCTCTCACAAAGGGACAGCACCTGCAATAGGCTTAATGGCCTGGTCTGTGCTATAGCCATTCTCTGATTCTACAAAGTGGCATCAACAAGGTTTAGACAAGCTATACCAAGACTGTGTCTCTAACAGAAATGATGGTGCATACATTTCAAAAGGATCCCCTCGAGCAACTTCACTGCAACATTTCTACCAAGAGACTGTTGACGGAAGGATTATAATGCGTGAATGTATTCTTGACCTGTTGTCAAACCAGTTTGGTCTATTTAAGAATAGCTGTCATTTGTTCAAGCCCTCATCAGGACTATTTGTACATGGTTCTCTCTTCACCATCTGCCTTATCAAATAATATGCAGAATAATTGGAAGGGTTTATTAAAAGTACAGTTTCAATGTTGAATTTAACCAGGGTGTTGCTGTCAGTGATCAGGAAATTCCAAAGCTTGTCTCTTCCTAAATTTGAGGATCTCAGTCAAGGAAGCAATTGAATTGCCACATTTTGATTACATGAGGGGAAAACTAGCCAGGACTTCAACTCCTGATCCCTATCCAATAATCCTGTCTGGAAACGTGTATGCATTACAGATTTGGCTTGGTCAAATTACCTGCTGATTAATAAATAAATAATCAACCTTTGGTATTTCTGTCTAGACCAGCATTCATTGCCCATCTGATGGTTAAGGGTCAACCACATCGTTGTGGGTCTATATAAGCCAGACCACGTAACGATGGCAGATTTCCTTCCCTAAACGAATTTAGTAAACCCGATGGATTTTTAGAAAATTGGCAATGGATGCAACATCACCATTAGGCTGTGTTTTTATTCCGCATATTTACTGAATTCAAACTTCACCACTGGGATTTGAACCTCTGTCCCTAGAACACACTCTGAAGAAAAGGCGTCACTGAATCAAAACATTAATTCTGTTTTCTCCCCATGGATGGTACCAGATCTGCTGAGTTTCTCCAGGAACTTCTGATTTTATTTCCTAGGCACTAGGCTGAGTCTCTTGAATATTAATCTAGTAATGTTACCACTATATCATCACCATCCACCTGTCTAGAATAGTACACACAGCTTTGGTCTCCTTATCTGAAAAAAGATATTATAACATTAGACACACTTCAGAGAAGATTCACTCAACTCATTCCTGGGATGAGGGACTTCATAGAATCCCTATAGTGTGGAAACAGGCCCTTCAGCCCAATAAGTCCACAGTGACCCTCAGTACATCCTACCCAGACCCAATCCCCTAATCTACACATCCCTGAACACTATGGGCAATCCACCTAACCTATACATCTTTGGACTGTGGGAGGAAACCCATACAGACACAGGGAGAATGTGCAAACTCCACACAGACAGTCACCCAAGGGTGGGATTGAACCCAGGTTCCTACTGTTGTGAGGCAGCAGTGCTAACCGCTAAGCCACCATGCCACCCTATCTTATGAATAAATGTTGAACAGCTTGAGCTTGTAGCGATTGGTGTTTAGAAGAACGAAAGGTGATCCTATTGACATGTACAAGATCCTAGTGGTGCTGCATAGAACAAAATATCTCCTTTTAAGAAAGATGATTTTTTTTCTCTCATAAATGCATCAATCTATAGAACTTTCTTACCCAGAAAGCAGTAGAGACTGGGTCAATGAATTTATTCCAGACTGATTGTTAATATACAAGGGAGTCAAGAGTTACGGGGTTCAAGTTAGGAAAGTAGAGTGAGACCATAACAACATCAACCATGATCTTACCAAATGGTGGAGCAGGTTCAAGGAGTTAATTGGCCTATTCATACTCCTAAGTCCAATGCTCTTGTATTACCATTAACAGCCCTGTTAAGTGCCAGAGTGCCTCGTGGATGGAAGATACAATGCTCCCACCCTTTTTCCAAAAGATAGGAGGGACACCCATCACTGAAACTGCGTTCTGCTCATTGTCTTTTGCCTTCATATTATTCTATGTTCCAAACCACTGAACATAGCTTTGTGACCTTGACTCAAATACTGTAACGATTTCCATCTGCTACTCTCAACAGACTCCAATTAACCTAACGGGGAGGCAATGGCCTGGTATTATCACTAGACTATTAATCCAGAGACCCACATAATGTTTTGGGGGACCTGGGTTCAAATCCTGCCATGGCAGAGGGTGGAATTTGAATTTAATAAAAATCTGGAGTTAAGACTCTAATGATGATTATGAAACAGTTGCTGATTGTTGGGAAAAACCGATATGGTTCACAAATACCTTTTAAGGATTGGAACTACTATCCTCACCTGGTCTGGTCTACATGTGACTCCAGAGCCACAGCAATATGAATGAATGGATGATTGATCTTGTTGTTACATGTATTTTATAGTGAGAAACACAGTAAAATAGCGTGAAAACCTTTACCACTGTCACAACTATCTGGCGCTATTTTAAATAGTTTTAAGAATAAGTGAAAAAAAAGATATAGCTTAAAGAGAGTTCATCAGCCATGCCTGTGGCACCATCCCTCCTCCACTGTCTACATTGGACCCACCAACATCAGAGTCAATGTCAATGTGGTTGACTCTTAACTGCTTTCTGGGGCAGTTCTACAGAAAAAGCACAGAAGACTGGAGGCTTGGAGAATAAAAGAATACAAGCATGTGGCAAACCAGCTGTCATGTGGAATACACTGAAGAGCTCTTTCAGAGAAGCAGTCTTTGGGAAGAACGTTGGACGAGATTGTAAACATAAGCTGGAATAAGGTTAGGAAGAAGTCTGGGACAAGGATGTTACATTTTTACGGACTGAAGAGTCAATACAGATAAGAAGGATTGGGGAGTTGCCCTGTAATTTTACTAGCTGGAATGCCTCTAACGGAACATTGTTATAGTCATTCACATGATGTGGGTGGCACTGGCTAGGCCAGCATTTATTACTCATCGCTAATAACAGTTGAGGTGGTGCTGGTGGTGAGCTGCCCTCTTGAACTGCTGCAGTCCACATGCTGTATTTTGATCCAAAATGCCATTAGGGAGGGAATTCTAAGATTTTGACCCAGTAACCATGAAGGAAGGGGGATATATTTCCAAGTGGATGGTGAGTGCCTAGGAGGGGAACTTACAGGTGGTGGTGCTCCCATGTACCTGTCACCTTTGTCCCTCTAGATGGAAGTGGTTGTGGGTTTGGAAGGTGCTGTCTGAGGATCTTCTGTGAATTTCTGCAGTGCATCTTGTAGGTAGTACACACTGCTGCTACTGAGCTGCGGTGGTGGAAGGTGTGGATGTTAATGGATGTGGTGCTAATCAAGTGGGCGGCTTTGTCCTGGATAGGATCAAACTTCATAATTATTGCTGCAGCTCCACTCATCCAAGCAAGTGGGGAGTATTCCATCACATTCCTAACTTGTGCCTTGCAGATGGTGAATAGGCTTCGGGGAGTCAGGAGGTGAGTTACTCACCTGCAGCATTCCTAGCCTCTGAACTGCTCTTGTAGACACTGTGTTTATGTGGTGAGTCCAGTTGAGTTTCTGGGCAATGGTAATCCCCAGGCTATCGATAGTGGGAGAGTCCAATGACTTTACTTCAGAATGTTTCAAAATCAATTTTCAATTATGTTGTTAAAAAAACCTTTCCAACATCTACTGAAAGAGGGGTGCAGACTCAAAGCTGGTAAATGAATGAGTATTTGGTTGATTTAGCACAAATCCTGTATTCGCATAATATCTTAGCAATGAACGTTAACAATATGAGTATGAGACAATATCTCCAAATCATTGCTTCCCATGGAATAATGACTAGAGCAGAGACACATGGCACACACTGTTGAAAAATTACAGTTGGAGTTGATTACACATGATTTTCAAGAATCACATCTTGTGACACTGGCACTAATGCTGTAACGGAAGCCTGGAGAATGGCTAATATTGTGTCATTGTTTAAGACAGGCTGTAAGGAGAAACCTGGAAACTATAGACCTGTGAGTCTGACATCGGTGGTGGTAGGCTGTTGGAGGTGATTCTGAAAAATAGGATTTATATGTATTTGGAGAAGTAAGAATTGATTGGGGATACTCAGCATGGTTTTGTGCGAGGGAAATCGTGTCTCACAAACTTGAGTATTTTAACGAAGTAACCAAAATGATTGATGAACACAGTGGTAGACATTGCTTACTTGGACATTAGTAAAGCCTTTAATAAGATTCTGCATGTTAGACTAATTAGTAAAGTTAGATCAGATGGGATTCAGGGTGAGCTTGCTAATTGGACACAGAATTGGCTTTATGGTAGGTAACAGAGTGTGGTGGTGGAGGGTTGTTTTCCGACTGGAGGACTGTGATCAGCAGTGTTCCACAGAGTCTGGTACTCAGCGCACTTCTGTTTGTCAATTATATAAATGATTTGGATGAGAATATAGGAGGCGTGATTAGTACGTTTGCAGATCACACCAAAATTGGTGGTATAGTGGACAGTGAAGAGGAAGAGTGAGAGCAAGAGAGACTTATGACTAATGTTTTAAGAGAATGGCATTTGCTAGCCTATTCTTTTATTAATACTTTACAAAGAACAAGTCTTATCAACAGCAAAAATGAAAGGGGAGAACTTTTGGTAACAATATCATAGAAACATTAATGTTGACAAATAAACAAGGCAGTAGATTGTCTCTTGCTGTAGGAGTGAGCAAACCCTTGCATCAGAAAAACTGTTCATATTTCTTTCAAAGAAATCATAATTTGATCTTACATTGGGTCTAAATATTACATTGCACTGTATTAATATATTCAGTAAAATAATACGACTGATGAATAATTACAGTTGCCAGCGAAGTCACATCAGTTTGAGTCAAAAGTAACTGGTGTGGCAGTGACTTCAACTGCTCTTGTATCATCCACTGGTTTCCTTCGATGTTCAGCAGGAGGCCTTGGTGGGGGGTTTGTGGGTGGCTGATGGATACTTTTTCCAACGTGTCCTTTCTGAGACTGCAACGCCTGTATGGGTCTCCATTCCTCTTTTCGGAAGGCAGCCTAGATTGAGATATACAAGCCATTGTATTCTTTGAAAAATGATGCCATCATTGTCATTAGATTATCTCTCAAGCCAGGTTTATGTAACCTGTTCTCATAATGTAACCCTTTACAGCCCTGGTATAATTCTGCTGAATTAGTATATGCTCCCCAAGGCTAATATATCCTTTCGAGGTGTAGTGTCCAAAACTGAATGCACGAGTCACAAATCAGAAAGCACTATTTCAAACAATATGCCTTTATAGAACACCTTCAGTACAACCAACAACCCCATGGCACCTTTCAGGGACAACACCAACAAAGTGATTTTGGCACCAAGCTGCAAAAGATGATATCAAGAAGGATGACTAAGAGGTTGGTCAAAGTCATAGGTTACGAAGAATTTTAAAAAGGGGCGAGAGAGAAGGCAGAGAGAGCGTGCGTGCACGTGTGTGTGGGGAGAGAGAGGGAGAGAAAAAATAAAGGAGAAGAAAACATTTAGGGGACACATTCAAAAGTATAGAGCAGAGGCAGCTGAAAATTACAGCCACCAATTGTGGGGAAATTTAAAACGGAGTCCAAAGTTGGAGTACATAGAGGTTACAGAGATAGGAAGGGATCAAGGCATAGAAGGACATGGATGAGGAGTTTCAAATGAGATGGTCAAACTAGTATCCATTATTTCTACACAAAGTAGAATGAAAAACTAGAATTCTCCCTTCCACAAGGGCTGTGAATAATAAACAAGAAGATACACAGATTTTATTGCACAAGGATATGAAGATAGATCAAAAACAGATAAACGGAATTCAGTGACATATCAATCATGTTCTGACTGCATAGCAGGCAGGGTTCAGAGGTTGAACAGCCTGCCCACACTCTTGTGAACACAAGTCAAAATTATTTTCTTTTATGAGGATTCCTTTTGAGATTCTTTCAAGGGATACTTTTTTACTTTTTGCTAAGCGTACTTTTTCCATTCTCAGTAACTAATTTGTTGGTGATGCTGTGATGCAGTAACAATATCTTCCTCATGCCTGTTGATACATGAGTTTTTGGACTCCCACAGAAACAGAATTTAAAAAATACATTCAATGTCCTCAATAATGGTCAACTCTCCATTAAACTTAAAAGCTATTACACACAATAAAAACATGAAAATTCCTGAACACCACAGTGTTTAAATTGGCATAAGACAAAAGGCATAAAAGTTAACAAAAGTATTTTTTGCAAAACTAATTGACGCACACTTTAATGCATGAAAAGCTATTGCCCTAAAGACACCTTCCATACACTGGTGAGGTCATAGCCAATGCTTTCCCATCACAAGAAGTGCACAAACCTGAAACATTTTATCCAGGTCATTATAACTCTATTGACTGTGTCTCAGAACTAGATCTCAGATTTAAATTTAACAATAGACAGTATTCATTTCATAGGATTGATTAGATTTTTTCCAAGTATATCAGCTGCTGAACTTACGCAGCCCTAGAGAGTCCATTTTTTTTGCAAGGTATTAATTACTTCAGTGATTTGAATTTTTCTTTGATTCCAGTTAGCTATTTCTTTCTGACAGATTTAAAGCTGTTTTCTCTGCTTTACAGTCACCCTTTTCCCCCAATTCTTGGAACATCCATCTCCTACATACTGCTCTTGCAGTCTCCTTCCAGCCGCTTTATCCACCCACCCCCGCCCTCTCTGGCTGACTCTGAGGCCAAACCCAATGGATAGAATACTCGGACTCAATAAAAAGCCTGCCCACCCTCAGCAAAAAGCCCATTATCCTGGCCAACTGTTTCTCTTGGCATTCACCTCCCACTGGTTCTCATCACACTGCTCCCAGACCTCACTACCTACCCCACCAGTCCCCCCCATTTCACATGCTCTGTCCCCAGCCTCAGCCTTCAGCCCTTAAACCCTGGCCCGCAGCTTGTGCTCACTCCCTCCCTGCAGGTACTGCCTTTCTTAACTGCTCACTGCTCCACCAGACATTGGCATGTGCTGCTGATCAGCTCAAACAACTTTTATTTGACAGGTCACACATTGCACCAGCACCACCACTCACCCTCTCCCCAACCAAATGTGAACTTTCCCAGAATTTGGGGACTTCCAGGGTTCAATCCTTCCGCTGTCCCCATGTAGCTTGAGCACTCACTGAGTCCTTTTTCACACTATGCGCAGAGGTCTGCAATAAGGCATTACACAGATATTCTCTGCGGCTCATACAAGTAGATTGTAGTTACTAACTTTATAATTGTATACAACTTGTGTAAACCAAACTTGTAAACCTAAGGTTACTAATCTTAAATTATGACCAAACACAAATCTAATAAATACCACAATGTTTAATCTCATGTCTTGTTCTAAAGAAAAATGTTATTTAACAAAAAAAGTTTCTTACATAAAACAAGCAAGGCTTTGGTCATGAAGAAACTGCCCCCTACTGTTGCTTGTCTGCATGTGAAATTGTGCCAGTCAAAACAAACACTCCACGCATTAACTTTTGTCAATTTTCAGCATCTACCTTGCTGTCTGATATTAGCATGCTATTTCAGAAAGACAATCAGACTATTACAATGAAACAACTACACGGTGTGCAACTGACCATGTCTATTCTACACATGCATTAAACCTCAGAATACATTTTTCTACCAGTTTCCAAGCAACAGTGGTGTAGTACAACTCAAGACATAAGGAAAATTAATTTCTCCCAAAATCTGGCCTATTGTACAAGAAAAGGAACTCCGATCTGACAGATCTGTTAATCGTTCAGTTGAGTGACTGTTTACAGCTCTTTATCAAATGTAGAATGCATTTAATTAAATGTTTAGTCAGAGAGGTCCCAAAAATAGCTTAGTATCACAGTAAAACCCTACAAAAATATGCAACAGACTTAAATGAAAAAAATCTTGATGCCCATTATCAAGGTGTTCCATACGTAGAAGCTAATCTCTATTAACACTATCATTCGCAGTACTTTTATAAATGTCTCTGTTTATACTGGTGAAACTAGTAATAGAAATTCAATAAACATTTGGTGACATTTTGCAGCCGAAAGGTAGTATTTACTGTAGGTATGAAATTCCCTCTCAAATGCAGTTACTCTACACCGCTCAGCACAGATACAAAGCCAGGACCGATCCCCATCCACTGGTAGCCCTGCATAGGACAATTGTCATTGCTACTTATAGTTCTATCCATATATTGGACATCTCTGACAACTACAGCTACTTTCATTTATTAGTGAACTAAAACTACCAAGCCAATATCTCAACATTATATTTGCGAACCTTTACACCTGAGTCTTCCTCTTTCAGCTATTCATTCCATGGTGTCTTGCTCAAGAGGCTAATATTCACACATGACCCTAAACAGTGTGTATCAGCAGGTGATCTGATCTTGTTCTTAACTGAGGCTAATAAAGGATCAACTTTTAACAAATGGTTTCAAATAGGGCAAGACATTCACTCTCTAACTCAGAAGTGTGGAAGAAAACATCAGTGTACCCAATGCTACCCTAACTGAGTTCAGCTACCTCGACACAGGAACTAGATTTTTTTCTGGCTAATGCCTCATCTACTAATTTGATAAAAGAACATAGAACAGTACAGCACAGTACAGGCCCTTCAGCCCATGATGTTGTGCCAACCTATTATCCTACTAAGATCAACCTACCCTGCATACCCTACATTTTACTATCCTCCATGTGCCTATCCAAGAGTCGTTTAAAAGTCTCTAAAGTATCTGTCTCCACTACCACTGCCGGCAGCACATTCCACATGCCCACCACTCTCTGTGTGAAGAACCTACCTCTGACATCTCCCCTATACCTTCCTCCAATCACCATAAAATTATGCCCCCTCGTAATAGTCACTTCCGCCCTGGGAAAAAGTCTCTGACTATCCACTCTATCTATGCCTTTCATCATCTTGTAAACCTCTATCAAGTCACCTCTCAAACTTCTTTGCTCCAATGAAAAAAGCCCTAGCTCCCTCAACCTTTCCTCATAAGACCTGCCCTCCAGTCCAGGCAGCATCCTGGTAAATCTCCTCTGCACCCTCTCTAAAGCTTCCACATCTTTCCTGTAATGAGGTGACTAGAACAGAACACAATATTTCAAGTGTGGTCTAACCAGAGTTTTATACAGCTGCAGCATAACCTCGCGGCTCTTAAACTCAATTCCCCTGCCAATGAAAGCCAACACACCATACGCCTTCTTTACAACCCTATCAAGTTGGGTCGCAACTTTGAGGGATCTACAGACGTGGACCCCAAGATCCCTCTGTTCCTCCACACTGCCGAGAATCCTGCCATTAACCCTGTATTCTGCATTCAAATTCGACCTTCCAAAATGAATCACTTCACACTTTTCTGGGTTGAATTCCATCTACCACTTCTTTGCCCAGCTCTGCATCCTGTCAATGTCCCGGTTGAATCAGCAGAAATAAAAACTTGTATTTGAGCTCATTCAATAGTATTTTACAGCCAAATAAATAGTTTTCATCTGCACTCTCTGTGTTGGTGTGGGATGGTGGCAAGATCATACAAACAGTATGTCCTAAACACCAGATGATTTGTTTTTGTGATGCTGATTGGAGAATAAATATTGGCTAGGTCACGGAGAAAAAATTCCCTCCTTTTTCCAAGAGTGGTATCTTTTACGGCCATCTCAGAAACCCCACATGGTTTTGCTTTAACATCTCATCTGAAGAACAGTATCTCTCACAATGCAGCACTCCTTCAGTGTGCACAGGAGTATCAGCTGAGATTTATGTGCTCTGATCTCTGGAGTTAGTCAGTACAATCTCCCATTAGAATTTTAAGAAAGGCATTTAGTAAAATGAATCATTAATTATAGCTACTATACAAATATGCAGGATTAACACCACTGCCTTATCTTTCTATTGCTAAGTAATGTACTTGAAAATATATACCTATTGTGTATGGCTTCAGTTGCATGGTCACAGTTGTCTTTTTATTTATTTGGCAATCTCAAATCCAAACAACAATCACTTTTGAACCTTATAAACAAATGATTACGGTAAGAAATCGGCCAGTCTTACCCAGTTTGATCTACTTGTGATTCTAGACCCACTGCAATGTGACTGACTCTTAACTGCCCTCTTCCCTAGCCAGCAACACCCACATTCCATGATCAAATTAAAAAAAAAACTTTACATTTCTCATTTTATAAGAAAAAGATTATTTTGAAGAGTACTTAGTATAATTAATCATTTAATGCATTAAGTCACAAAATAACCTCAATTGAAAAGGTTATGGTTCAGAGTATTTATACTCCAAATTCTATAAGAATAGGAACATACACTTACAAGTAGGTAGATGAGACTGGCAATGCCAAGGTTGACAGTGCCCAGGACTGTGGGCAATATAAAGCCTCCAGGTACTGCAAGGCTGGAGAGATTTAAAATAAAATACCAAAATCCATTAGACAAACACCGAGCTGCAGCAATGTCACCCTGACACAGTGAATTCATAAATACCTGAAGTTTGTATAAAATATCAATATTTTACATAAGTAAAGATGAAGTAGACTGAACACCAGCAAACAAATATATAAACTTAAAAGAACAAAGATGCAAAAGCAAATTCATCCAATATCCCCTTCAGGAAAGCAACTGGGAATCTTTATAAAGGTGAGTGTTCCCTATTATTTGATTAAATAGATTATAAGTCATTCAAGCCATTCATGTCCTCTCTATTCATTAAGTCCTCAGCTATTCTTTTTTTAAAAAAATCAATGAATGTTTCTTTATGTCTCAAATTTTGAATTCTTACGAAGAATCTGTATCTGAAATGTTAGCCATATTTGCCTTTTACAGATACTGACAGACCTGCTGTTAATATAATTCACATTTTTACACCCCTATTATTGTTTTTGTTCTGCTGTGGCTGCTCAATTGTCACACTGAAGTACATGGACAGTTACTGAAGAGCTCGGTTCAGTTATAGCTGAAGTTCAACTCACACTGCAAGTAACAAACTCTGTTGCATTAAACTAGACACAGCACTGTCCTTAGCAGCAGAATTCCTCAATAAGTAGGTATAGCAAACAAATGAATGCACCAGGACTGCATTTTTGGAATTGCTGGTGGTTACAAGGTGTGTTTGGTGGAAAGGGATGGGAATATCCAACCCACAGGATCTTTGTGGCATAGTTGGTACTTATTTTTAGCTTCAAATTTTCATTTGTGATTATTAATAAAGAAGAACATCAGTCAAAGCTTTCACTGAGATAAAGAATTCAAACGACAGCTTCAAATTCAAGTAATGATTATTTTGACGACAAAAATATGAAATATGAATCCTACCATGCATGTAGAATAGCACGGACATAGTAATTTCGCGTTAAAGGTCCAAACAATTTCACAACAGCTGCAAAAAAGCGCTGACCCCTAGGATCAAAACAAGGGGATGAAATTAGTAGCAAAATGAAACAAAATATTGAAAATGCTCTTCAATAAAATAAACTCTTCCTATTAAACAAAATAACAATTTGCTTCTTTTAGTTATTTGTATTTCCTTTTATTCTGCTGTTTTATCCTTCTTTGTACCAACCGTACTCTGTTTAAACAAATAACGCATTTATACGTAGTCAACCACTTTTAAATCCAATACAAATTCTTTATCACACTCCGTTATCTATAATTACTTACGGTCTCTCCATTGTTGTTCCCTTTCGCCTCTTTCCTCTGGGATATTCCAACAACATCACAAAGACACCTGCAGCACTGAATATTTCAAGTTAAAGAAAAAAAAACTATTTAACGTCACTATGAGTCAGCTTCAGCCAACCTTCTATGGAGCCAGCAGTTACTTCTTCAATTTCATAACCTGCTTCCATAACCTTCAAAAGTTATCAAACTAGAAAGATTACTTTCATTACGGCCACTACAGTCTGAACAGCTGCCAGAAACTCAGCACGAATATCAGTCACAAAGTGCACTCCACCAACCTACTGTAACTTTACATTTTATTCAGTGATTCCTTCCAGAAAGAAGAAAAATACTTCCCTCCCACCATAGGTTCAGATAAACTAATGAGTTGCTTCTTGTAACTAAGATGATGACAATAAACCTATAAGTTGCTAAGCATTTTACCTTTTGAAATCTTCATCAGTTTAATTTCCACTCACTCCACATGCCAACAGAAATAGATAAAATGAAAAACTAAACATCTGCTTCCAAAGCCTGAATATGATCCAAAGCCTCACCAAAGTTATGAATACATTGTCATAAAAAACATCTTCTGTTCTTATTAAGTCTATTCAATTAAAACAGATACGATCCAGACATTAAATGCAGGTTCTATACCATGCATAATATGGCCCATCAAGTAAAGAAATGCTGATATAACTGAAACTACAGAGAATTAATAGTGACTAATATATTCATCTTTTTCTCTATATTGCCTCTCAGTTTTAGCCAATAGCTTTGGATTCAGAAAACATCATATGGAAGAACTATTTCAAATATTTGAGCAAATATTTGGCTCATGGTTTAATGTAGTATTGAGGGAGTTATGCATTGTCTCTCAGTGAAATATTAAATTGAAACTTGAATTTTTCAAAGACCAGCATGTGAATTTTTCTCCCAACATTCT